CAATTTATCCTAAATGTCAAATAAAGAAAAAATCATTTAAGCAGAAAAATATTCATCACAAAATTTCAAGTAGAGATATTGAAAAGTAGCCGAAAATGCCTAATGAGAGGTATAGTTAAATTTGTGTTTAAAATTTTTGGTACTGGAGGCCAGGTGTGATGGCTCATGCCTGTAATCCCAGCACTTTGGGAGGCCGAGGCAGGTGGATCACAAGGTCAGGAGTTCAAGACCAGTCTGGCCAACATGGTGAAACCCCATCTCTACTTAAAATACAAAAATTAGCCAGACATGGTGGCATGCACCTGTAGTCTCAGCTACTCAGGAGGTGAAGGCAGGAGAACTGTTTGAACCTGGGAGGCAGAGGTTGCAGTGAGCCAAGATCATACCATTGCACTCCAGCCTGGGCAACAGAGTGAGACTCCGTCTCAAAAAAAAAAAAAAAAAAAAAAAAAAAAAAAAAAAAAAGGTACTAAAAATGAAGTAAACACAGAAAAATGCTTGACAAAAGACAAATGTGATACCAGTACATATCTTCATTGTGATGGCAACCATGTAAAAAAATACATATAGATACGCAAAAGAATAACTGAATACACAATGATGGCAGCTGTTTACAGTTCCTGACTAGTTGCCAAATTTTGTGAAATGATATATTATCCTAAAATTAAAAGTCATTATTATTTTAAAATAAAATATTTGCAGCTGGGCAAGTGCCGACAGTCCCAGCTACTCAGGAGGCTGAAGCAGGAAGATTACTTGAGCCTACGAATTCAAGGCTGTAGTGAGCCATGATTGCGCCTGTGAACAGTCATTGCATTCCAGCCTGGACAACATAGCAAGACTCCATTTCTAAAAATGTGTGTACCTATTTTTCTAAAACAAGTCTGTGTATCAACCCTTTTCAGCAGGAAATGTTGAAGTCAAAACTTGATTGCTGGCCTGTCTCTGTATTTAAAAATAATAACAGGTTCCCAAGTCTCACCTTCTTCTCACTAAAAACCTTACAAATCTTCAGGCTAGACAAATTTGGAAAGTGAGGCACATTATGGACCTGTCCTAGTGAGACAGATTGCACATTATCATATTATAGGTTCTGAAAAGATCTGCAATAAACTTGTTTAATTTTGGTTAGCCCAGCATCTGCTAGATGTACTTGATCACAAAACCCTCTTTGCTCAAAAGACCTGCAAACTTCTCACTACAGTTTGGGAAATGCCATTTGGGTCAAAGATGCTCAAAGGGGTCAACAGAGGGAATGCATCTTAATTACCAGAGAAGTGTTTCCAGATGCCATGCTTTCCAGTTAGGAGTCATTAATGACAGTATGTCTTACGCCTCAGGTGTGTATATTAAGGTAGAAAAATGGCTTGAGTGGCTCGGTGCGGTGGCTCACGTCTGTAATCCCAGCACTTTGGGAGGCTGAGGCAGGCAGATCACCTGAGGCCAGGACTCGGAGAGAAGCCTGACCAACATGGTAAAACCCTGTCTCTACTAAAAACACAAAAACTAGCCAGGTGTGGTGGCATATGCCTGTAGTCCCAGCTACTCGGGAGGCTGAGGCAGGAAAATTGCTTGAACATGGGAAGCAGAGGTTGCAGTGAGCCGAGATTACACCACTGCACTCCAGCCTGGGCGACAGAGCAAGACTCCATCTCAAAAAGACAAAACAGGCCGGGTGCAGTGACTCATGTCTGTAATCCCAGCACTTCGGGAGACCGAGGTGAGCAGATCACGAGTATAAGAGATCGAGACCATCCTGGATAACATGGTGAAATCCCATCTCTACTAAAAATACAAAAATTAGCTGGGCACGGTGGCACGCACCTATAGTCCCAGCTACTCGGGAGGCTGAGGGTGCAGTGAGCCAAGATCATGCCACTGCACTCCAGCCTGGCGACAGAGCGAGACTCTGTCTCAAAAAAAAAAAAAAAAAAAAAGACAAAACAAACAAGCAAACAAAAAACAAAGAAAAATGACTTGAGAACTACTCAACTATGCAGCTACTTATAAACAACTAATCCAGTAGAGGGGACCAAAAACCCCACAAAATAAACCATTCAGGGAACAGAATTGGGAGGATTTCTGCCTCTTACAAATGGGATTCTGATCAAGCCCAAATATGACAGCAGTTTCTAGAATGAAATGGCCATGTCTTCTTTTGTAATTATGTAGTGGCAACTAAAGAAATTTGTATAACTCATATGAGAATTAGTTTCCCTTTTAAATATAAATATAGTATTGCTCATGACATGTGAAAAAAAGAAAGCATGTATCTTTCTAAAATCTGTATTTTTTAAATATAAGATTAGTATATGCATATGGTAGTAGGGCATCTTCATAGGGCAAATACTCAGTATCTACTTCTCAAAGCAAGCAGCCCTCTACCCTCTTCTACATGGTTCTTTAGCATTATGAGACTGTTACCTCTGGTCGAAGTGTAGCTTTCATGCAGGCTGGGCAAAGAGGCCCAGTTCGGGAGAACTGAAGGGGAAGGTGACGAGTTCGATTGCCACAGGTTGGCTCCTCACATATCAACCAGCCCTGGAGAGAAGAAAGGGAAAACTTCAGACTTATCACCATCGACAAATATAAGTAACAAATCTTTTTTTGGTTATCAAGATAGACTCATTTTATTTCATCTTTTCTCAGAAATTCTGACATAACTCTAGTTATCTCTCTCTCCTGACATGTTAATTAGCTAAATCTATGCCCCAAACTTAGAAGTTAGGAAACCCATTCAGTTTAAAAAAAAAAAAAAAAAATCACGTGAGATGTTATTTCTTTTTCTTAAGAGAAACACCCTTCCTCACTCAAATACATCAAAACTTGCCAACAAAAACTTCTACTACAGGCAGAATGTAAACCAATGTGTTTTAGTTCATTAGGAAAGACCATTACCAAAGTAAAGAATGCACCACATACATGTATAACCTTTCCAATAGCTGAGTGACTACTGGCTAGTTACTTAATTGCTGTGCTATTTCCTTCTCTGTAAAATGGATACCACAGTACTTACTGTATAGGGTTGTTGCAATGATGGAACACATTTACAGTGTCTAGGACTATATTTGATATAAAAGAAACACTTAATAAATATAATCAATTATTTCATGTAAACAAAAATAGATTCTCTTATATGTGCTTTCTGGAGACATAAAACTAGCTGCAATGTTTTCAAGGACAACTTCAACTTATCACTATTTTCCAGAGGTTTGAAATACTACAGCTATTGCTCACTTCTCTGTCTTTTAGAACCCTCTTCTCACCTTCCTTCTTCAGTTACTCTCCCTTGCTGATCTTGTTTGAATTTTCTCATAGTGATGTGATAAGAATATGCCTAAGACCTTAAATCAGCATTATGTTTGTTATAAAAACATTATCTGTTAAACAAAGGAGACAAGACTTCCAAGTGGGGTCAAAGTTCAGCTGTTTATACTAAGGAACCAAGGTCTGTGGGCTTTCGTGCTACATGTATTGCCACAGAGGCGTAAGTATAAGGCAAATGTTAGGGTGAGGTGCTGGGTATAAAGGTGAACAAGGTATGCTGCTGCTCCCCTGTCTCATGGTGTTCTCATCTGCGGAGCCCCCAGTAGGGACCTGACTATCTGTAGGTCTTGGAGCATTTTGAGACATGGCAACTTCTGAACTG